ACCACTGTTAGCTTTTTCAAAACAAGCCTATTATTTTATTTTCTTAAATTCCAAATGCCTGCTCTTGCCACATTCCCTTGCTTTTTTTTTTGTGAATTGAAATATAGTCAGTTTACAATCTTGTGTCCGTTTCTGGTGTACAGCATAGTGATTCAGTCATGCACATACATGCATAAATTCGTTTTCATACCCTTTTCCATTAAAGGTTACTACAAGATATTGAATATAGTTCCTGCACCCTTGTTTTTATTTATAACAACTTTTACTACTCCCATTGCTTCTATACAAATCTTGAGAAACCGAGGCACAACATAATTATCATAATGCTGCCCTTAGCAAGTATGACAAAAACAAGCCACTACCCTAATTGTGAGACAGATCAGTAATAAAACGGTCCCTAGGGGAGAGGGTGTAGCTCAAGTGGTAGAGTGCATTCTTAGCATGCACGAGGTCCTGGGTTCAATCCGTATCTCCTCTAAAAAATAAATAAATAAATAAACCTAATTATCTCCCTCCCCACCTAAAAATGAATAAATTTAAAAAAAAAAAAAACGGTCCCTAGTCCACATACAGGTCCAGAAATCTTGGCCTAGTTACTGCAGAAACTAGTTGTAACAGCGTGCTCTCAGCTGCTGGAACCCACGCATGCAAAGGGGAGCAGCCCTGCCCCACAAGGAGAGGTGGCCTGACTCCCAGCCGAAACCATAGCTGAGTACACACTTTCTGGAAGGAAATGTCTGTCCTGGGCAATCTGAAATGGGTGTGGAGCAATGGAAAAAACCACTAAACTGTAAATTCTGAGATACGGTCAGGCAAGGAGCAGATTTATGATCTTGCCTAAACTGATTTGTGGAGCACAGACATACGTGGGGCAGACATTCGAACTTTCCTTCTGGCTTTAAAATCCTGTTATTCTAATGTTTTCATTTCATTTAATCATCACCAATCCTTGGAGGAAAAAAGATTACCTTAATAGGTCATGTTAACTTTAAAATCATCTTTAATGAACTCACGTATACGTGGAATTTTTTTTTTAATTTGTGTATTTTATTCTTACTTTTTTTTGTTTTTGCTTTGAGGAGGAGGTGATTAGGTTTATTTATTTATTATTTATTTTAATGGAGGGACTGGGGGTTGAACCCAGGACCTCGTGTATGTTAAGCACACACTCTACCACTGAGCTCTACCCTCCCTCACTGGAATATCTTTTTTTAAATAAGCTCACGGATACAGAAAACAGATTGGTGGTTGCTAGAGTTGGAGATGGAGGGCGAGTGAAATAGGTGAAGGTGGTCAAAAGGTACTAACTGCCAGCTATAAAATAAATAAGTCCCAGGGAGCTAATGTACAGCATGGCAGTTATAGTTAATGATGCTGTGTTGCATATTTGAAAGTTGCTAAGAGAATAGATCTTAAAAGTTCTCACCACAAGAAAAAAAATTTTTGTAACTGTGTATGGTTGGGGGGTGGGTATAGCTCAGCAGTAGAGCACATGCTTAGCCTGCACAAGGTCCTGGGTTCCATCGCCAGTGCCTCCATTTAAGGAAGAAAGAAAAGAAAATCCAACTATGTACGGTGAGGGATGTTAACTAGGTTTACTGTGGTGATCATTTCTCAGATCATTATGTGGTACATCTGAAAGTAATACAATGTTAGATGTCAATTACATCTCAATAAAAAATAAATATTTTAAAATCATCTTTGTTTAGCTACACAGTTGTCAATTAGCTTCAAGTTAACGATGTAGTTGAACCGGGTGTCAGTGTCTTTTCTTTTGATGTCTTTTCATATTTTCCTTTCCTGCACTTCAAACCAATTAAATCCTATCTGGGAATCAGATCAAATTGGCACTCCGAGGTGCTTTAGATTTACCAGCCTGGAAACCTACTGTTGATGGCACTGCTGCCCCATGTAACCCGAATCAGGTGTGAACACAAATTGTAAATAGAAACACCTTCACTTACACCTATTTTCATAATGGCTCTCTTTATTGAAAAGCTTTGATTTATTGTTTTCTTTCTGTAATTAAGGCACGGATTAATAACCCATAGGCTTTATTATTACTGGAGAGAATGACTGTGTATCTTATTGAATTTTCTTATTTAAAAAGGCCTGGCGGGAGGGGGTAGCGCAGGGGTAGAGCACGTGCCTAGCATGCCTGAGGTCCTGGGTTCAATCCCCAGTATGTCCCTTAAAAAAAATAATAACCTATAAAAAATTTAAAAAGGCCTGGACTGTCCTTACTGGACACTGAGGTGAGACCTACATGAATAATGTGGGGCACTTGCTGGACATGTGCTGTGGGTGTTCCCGCAAAGTTCCTATGAATCCAATTTTTGTAAATTCGATTATGTATTACATTAGGAGAGCCTGATATTTTAAAGAACTTGATATTTAAAGTTCAATGAAAACTTTAACAACACTCTTTTGTTATATAAATTCTCTGCCTCTAATTGGTTTTCTTTTGAAGATTTGATTTTTACAGATAGGTTTTCTTAAGTCAGGGCACATCGACTAATGTTGTAAACACTGATTTCAGAATCACTGGGAAACAAAACAAAACAGAGAACGTCTGTAACACAAGAAAGCAAAAACTCTAACGAGAAACCAAAATCTTTCATCTCTGTATCCAGGCAGATTCTTCATTAGTTATGGGGGAGGAGAAGGAGGGGCAGGGGAAAGGCAGGGTCTTCTGTGATGTTTGACCTGGGGCAGAGCTGAGAACAGGCCATGGTAGCTAATAACATGGCAGCCAATAAGAATAACATGTGGATAATTAGAAAATGAAATATTTCATAAAGCCTTTGAGTAGTTTAAAAAAATTTTTAACTTTTAATAATGACCATTGTGACAATGACGTCAGCATCATGGCTGCATGAGAAGCTTCCTTTGTCTCTCCCCTTCAATCCACAACTAGTAAAGTATAACAAAGGTGCCCCTGTCCGACACACCAGGACACTGGAGAGTTTCACACATCACATCTGTACATCTGAAGGCGGGTGGACTGGAACACACAGAGGAGGCAGAACCAGGGGGAAAACGGAGGTGGTGCCCACCACCCCTGACCCCAGCCACAGTGGCACCAACGTCCCCAGGGAACTGGGCAGTGGTGACGGCACAGCCCACAACCAGAGTCCCTCCAGCTTCAGCAGCACCTGTGAACCCAGTCCCCAATCCATGGCGAAGGCGTCTCTCCCACTCCCCAATGCTGTGGTGGTGACTGTGACCCCAGCACCCCAAACATGGCAGACACCGGCCATCCCAGTGCCCTCTGCAGCAGTACCAGTGACAGCAGCGACACGGGCAGCAGCAAGGCACCAGCGACCCTGGACGCACAAGCAGCCACAAGGCGGGCACCTGCAGCACCTCTGGCAGAGGCGTGAGCGGCGGACTGTGGCAGTTCTCAGGCACAGCCAGAGGCAGCGCAGATAGAGAAACCAAACACTTGTGCTACAGCGCCCCCTACGGGAAAACAAAAGGAAGATCTCTAATTACGAATCTGTTGAATTTTGACAATCAGTATTTAAAAAAAAAAAAAAAGAAAGAAACCCTAAATAGGAAAGATGTTGTCTGCTTCAAATGCATCAACAGAGGAGTAACTCATCAATCACCATGAAAAACCATGGTACCACAATATCACAAAAAACAAATGAAAATTCTCTGAAAACCAAACTTAAAGCCATAGAAGTTTGTGATCTAACTGGTAAGAGAATTCAAAATAGCTGGCCTGAAGAAACTTAACAAGCTATAAGAAAACTCAGAAAGGACGTTCAGTGCTCTCAGGAATAAAATTAATGAGCAGAAGGAATGCTTGACCAAAGAGACTGAAACTCTAAAAGGAACCAAACAGAAATTCTAAAGCTGAAGAACTCAATAAACAAGATGAAGAATGCACTCCCTGATTTCAAATTATACTACAAGGCAGAAGCAAAACAGCTTGGTATTGGCAGGAAAACAGACACACAGATCAATGGAACAGAATTGAGAGCCCAGAAATAAATCCATTTATATGAACAGTTTATTTATGACAAAGGCGCAAAGAACATACAATGGAGAAAAGAAATGTCTCTTCAATAAATGGTGTTGGGAAACTGGACAGTCACATGCAAAAGAATGAAAATTAGATCACTATCTTACACCATATACAAAATTAACTCAAAATGGATTGAAGACTTGAATGTAAAACCAAAAACCATAAAACTTCTAAAAGAAAACATAGGCAGTATAATTCACTGACACTGGTCTTCGCAATATCTTCCTGGATATGTCTCCTCAGGCAAGGGAAACAGAAGTAAAAATAAACAAATGAGACTACATCAAATTAAAAAAGCTTTTGCACAGCAAAGTAAACCATCAACAAAATGAAAAGACAACCAACCAAATGGGAAAAGATATTTGCAACTCATATATCTGACAAAGGGTTAATATTCAAAATATATAAACAGCTTATAGAACTCAACAACAACCAAAAAAAACACCTGATTTTACAAAGGGCAGAGGATCTGATAGACATTTTTCCAAAGAAGACCTAAAGATGTCCAACAGACACATGAAAAGATGCTCAGCATCACTAGTCATCAGGAAAATGCAATTCAAACCACCTGATATATCACCTCACTCCTGTTGGAATGACTATCATCAAAAAGACAACAAATAACATGTGTTGGCAAGAATGTGAAGAAAAGGGAACCCTTATGCACTGTTGGTGGGAATATAAATTGACGCAGCCACTGTGGAAAACATGATGGAGATTCCTCAAATAATTAAAACGGAACTACCAAATGATCTAGCAATTCCAGTTCTGAGTATTTATCAAAAAATACATAACACTAATTCTAAAAGATATATAGACCCCATGTTCATCACAGTGCTATTCACAATAGCAAGATGTTGAAGCAACTTGTGTCCATCAGTGGATGAATGGATAATGAAGATGTGGTGTGTACATACACACACACACACACACACACACACACACACACACACACACACACAGAGAGAGAATATTATTCAGCCATAAAAAATGAAATATTGCCATTTGTGACAATATGGGTGGATCTTAAGGGTATTATGCTATATGAAATAAGTCAGATGGAGGAAAGACAAATACTGCATGATTTCACTCATATATGTAATATTTTATAAATAATAATAATGAACAAACAAAATAAAAACAAGCCACAGATACAGAGAACAGTTGGTGGTTACCAGAGTGGGAAGAGCAGGGTGAGGAAAAATGGTTAAAAGGGATGAACTGTATGGTGCCAGGTAGAAACTAAATTTTGGCAATGAGCATGCTGTAGTGTACACAGAAGTTGAATTATAATGTTGCACTCATGAAGGCTTTATAATGCTATAGACCAACATAACTCAATTTTTTAAAAACCACAAACTTGAAAGGAAATAAAAAATTTAAAAGCACTTTATGATTCTCTAAAAAATAAAATAAAATAATGACCACTGTAGGATAATGTTTTAAAAGAATCTGTATATTTCACTGAAATACACATTCAGTGTTCTTCTTCAATTGAGTGGGCTTTAATTCTACTAATCTACTACTGTCGGGTCTTCAGTGTCCATTTGTCACCAGGATCTAAATTAAGCATGTCTTGGGCATCATCACATGGCCCAGGTGTAGTAACCTTTCTAATAGTGCTTGTGTAAGCCATCTATACATCACTCTTCCGTAATTACAGCCTAAACTTTTTATGATTAAAAGCAACCATGGCACGTTTGAAGGCCTCATGAAATCAAAAGGAGGATTGTGATTGCATTTAATCTGTACTGAATGCATACACATAGTCTAATCATTCCCAAGTACACTGAACTCTGGATGATTTGATTAAATACTTCCTCTATGGTTCTTTTACCTTTGTATTGACTTTGCTAGCATTTGGGGTGGTTGCCTTGGTGAGGAGGCATAGCAGGAACTAAGTTTATAGCTGTACCGCTTGGGTCCAGTTTTACAGCCATTGTTCTCAGATACTGAGAACTAAAGATAAAGGAGTATTGCCTGGAAACCTTATGTCTACACAAAAACCTGCACGTGGATGTTTACAGCAGCTTTATTCATAATTGCCAAGATTTGGAAGCAGCCAAGGCGTCTTTCAGTAGGTGAATGGATAAATAAACTGGCACATCCAGACAAGAGAATACTATCCAACACTAAAAAGAAATGAGCTACCGAGCCATGAAAAGACATGGAGAAAACTTTGGTGCATATTAGAAGAAGTCAGTCTGGAAAGGCCACATACTGTATGATTCCAACTATATCTCATTCCAGAAAAGGCAAAACTGCAGGGGCAGTAAAAAGAGCAGTGGTTACCAGGGGTTAAGGGGAGGAAGGGATGAACAGGCAGAGCACAGAGGATGTTAGAGCAGGGAAACTATTCTATATGATGCTGTAACGGTGGATACATGCCATTATACACTTAGCAATCCATAGACTGTTCAACACCAAGAATGAATGTAATGTAAACTGTGGACTTAGGGGATGATGATGTGTAAGGGCTGGTTCATCAGTTGTTAACAAATGTCCCCACCTGGTGGTAGGGGGCGGTTGAAAGCCGGGGCAGCTGCACCTGTATGGGGCAGAGGGAATACTGGAACTCTGTATTTTCTGCTCAATTTTGCTGAGAACATAAAACTGCTCTATAAAAAGCCATCTTTTTTTTTACAGCCTGAATCCTCACAGTAAGTTTAGCTTCCCTCACAACCAAACGTTTACTAGTAACTGATTTAAGTCATGTCCTCCTTCAAATCTAGGTCCACAGTGCCAGAGAGCATGCCCCGCACTACACACACACACACACACACACACACCCCTGTGGATTTCCCCTCTCCTGTGCATCCCTACTTCCTGAAGAGCAAACGGTGGCTCATTTAAATAATAGAAAATGAACTATGTACAGTCTCTTTTACTAGTCAGCTCACTATCATTTCTTAAATTCATCTTTTTTTAAATTCTGATTATCAAGGCTTAAAAAATTAGGAACTTGTTGAGGGGAGGATACAGCTAAGTGGTAGAGTGCCTGCTCAGCATGCATGATGTCCTGGGTTCAATCCCCAGTACCCCCACCAAGAAATAAATAAATGAAATAAATAAACGTAATAACCCCCCCCAAAAAAAAACTAGGAACTCAGAATTTTTGAAAGCAGATCCTACTGCGGAATGCTATCTTTGACACTGCAGCGGTAGTTTCAGTGACATATGCTAGCCATTAGAGGGCGCCATTCTCACAAGTCGAGGGCTGCAAACTTCCAACAGCCCCACCTGCTAAAAATGGACAAGTGCTCAGGATGGCTGGGGTTACTAAACATTACAGCTGTCAGGTTATAAATGTAGCAGTACACCTTCCGTTGGAGCTCTGAGACTGAAACTCACAAATACACTGCTAAATAAAAACTGCAAATATGTAACTGTATATTATATTTTTGTTTTCATTTTGCTAAATATATGTACAACATAAAAAGCTAACATGTTAGCCATTTCAGGTGTACAATTCAGTGGCATGAAGTACATTCATAATGTTCTGCAACCATCACCACTATAACCAAAATTTTTCATTATCCCAAACAGAGACTCTGCGTTGTAATATTAACTAGCAAAATGAATTCAAATTAACTACAGACTATTAAGCACTATACAGATATTGTCTCATTTAACATCACAGGAACTCAGAAGAAAGTATTTTTATTCTATTGATTAAAAACTTGAGGATAAGAGAGATTCAACTAATTCCTCTAAATCTAGGAAGTCATAGAATCATAATTCAAATTTAGGTACCTCTACACAGTGCTGTAAGCAAGTGAGATTTGGGGATCAGTGGAATAATACAGAAGTTTGATCATTAAATTATATTGTGTTTTCTCATCATAGTTCAATTTTCTCTTTATACAATATGATACCAAAATGTAAAAGCTCTGATCCTACAAACTCTGATCAGGATGAAAGTATTAAGTTTCTTGGTTTTTAAAGTGTTTCCATTTAAAGACTCTTTTAATAATAACCTCTGAGGAGTAATTGAGGGTTGCACTAAATTAACTCTTGAAAAGAAAGGAGTAGATACAGAAACAGCTCTTACATGTCAAATGCTAATTAAGGGTTTCACAAAAGAAACAAGCGTTTTTTTGAATTAGAATGCATGCTGAGAACATTAAATTTGATTTTTAAAATACGTTTAATTAGAATTCACAGTCATATCTTGAGTCTCTGAATACTTTAATTATCTTCTAAAACTCTCAAATCCTCAGTAAATTCTCAGAACACTATCCCATTGCTCCTCAACTCAGAACTTCCCATGGATTTCCATTTTAATTTTTGACAGAAATAAGTGGACTCTCCTGAGAATGACATTCGATTTGCTCCCAACTTGCATTTCCAGCCTTCTTTTCCCTAATCTCTTCCTGTGGTCTTTTCTCTAGTCACTTTCTCACTTGTAGTGTTACACAAACAGGTTCATTTTTGCCCGATGCACAGCAAGTCAGACACTGAGACAGTGACGTCTGTGATAAAGAGAAGGTTTATTTGCAAGACAGCCAAGCAAGGAGACAGGAGAAGTCTTTAATCTGCCCTCCTCAGGGGCTGGGGTATTTATGGGATAAAGAATAAAGAAGCAGGTAGGTGTGAGGTGTGGGGAGCATGGGAAAAGATGATTGGGAAAACGTGCGATAATCCTGGATCTGAGAAGGGGTACCTCAGCTACAGGGTTCTGTGTTTTAAAAAGGATGCCCAGCGGACACCCGCACATGCCCAGGTGGAGGGTCAGTGGTCCTATCCAGTCTTAATCAGTTTGTAAGAAAAAGGTTTCAGCCTCCTAGACCTTCCCTGAGTTCCAAAGGGCAGGTTCAAGTAGTTACTAATTGGCAGAGTGAGGGAATGCAGAAACAAAGGTGACATAATGATCTGATACCTCTCTCTGAGTTCTGCTACCAGAACCAGGGCCCCCACCCGGTGGAGGGTAGTGACTTCAGGCTGAGCACAAGCACTAGGACCCTAGACCGGCTGAAACCAGAAGGCCGATGCCTGAGATTCACCTCACCACCAACCAACCAGAGGAGGGGTCCACACTCTGCAGACCTCCCCCTAAGTTTTATCTATTAAAAACTCTTCCCCAAAAACCATTGGAGAGCTTGAGTCTTTTGAGCACGAGCCGATCAGACTCCTTGCTTAGCCCTGCAAAAAACCTTTCTCTGCTCCCAAACTCCCACACTTTGTTTTGTTTGACCCCATGGCACACAGACTTGGGCTCAACCACAGTTTCAGTTACATGAATAAGTCAGTAACTCATTCATAAAATCCCATCGCCAGCCAGACGGCCACTCTGAGCTCCAGATCTGTATATCTTCTGTCTGATCTTATGGTATCTCCCCACCTGTCCCTCACCCGTGGTTCACAGTGGCTCAGCAATGGGACCAACTTCCCTCATGGTTTGCAAGCCAGAAACTGAGTCATCTGGGACACGTCGTCTCCCTACCCCACAACTACTCTATCACCACACCTGGCTTGTTGTTCCTGCCATGTACGGAGACACTGCATAATCTAGCTTTCAAATGTGAACACTTTTTAGAGTATAAAGACAACCAGTAATAATTATGCTGGTACCACTGGTTTGCACTGGGATTGCATGATTTCCTGCTACCTAGGTCTTTTTTCGTCCATGCCCACTGCGGCCACCAACCCCAAATCTCCATCAGCTCTTGCCTCAGTCATCCCAATGCCCCTCTACCTTGCTGGTCCTCATGGACCAGCACCTACATGCACCCTCCATTCCACACCGCACAAGAAAGAGTCATCGTTCACAATGTCAATCTGATGAAACCCATCTCTCACACCCCACCTCCTAGTTACAATTCTTCCATGGAGCTCATAGCTCTTACATAAAATCCCAAATCTCTAACACAGCTGAGATGCTCAGAACGACTGGCTCCTCCCTGCTTCTTGAACCACACTCCTCCTCACTTCCTGTTCTCAAGACACATTGGGCCTTTCCCTCAGTCACCGAAAGCGAACGCGGTCATGAGCCCTCCTGGCAAAGAACTTTCACAAGGGCTTTCCTCTTTTGCTGGAGCCCTCTTCCCGCTCCTCCGCCCCTAAGTAAGGGTTACTTGACCTTCAGATTTCAGCTCAATTGTCAGGTCCTTTGGAAAGCCACCCTTGAAATCTC